GGGTATTGTTGGCTATTTCTGATTGTTCACCCAAAATCCGCCTCGAGGGGGACATGCCCGACCTAAATGTAGCTTCCAGGGACATGATCCCCCCCTGTGCTCTTGCCTCCGCATACATGCTCACCTCCTTTGCGAAAGGGGGTCCCTGCACGGAGCGAGGTCCTCTCCAGAGCGCTGCTGGATAAACGTATCTGGTGCAAGTTTCCGTGTTTAGTTCCATTCAGTTCTTTTGTATCTGATGGACAATTATTTTCGTTGGTTTGCTGTGGATGGCATGAGCATGTCTTTGAAGCTAGTTCGTCATTGTTCGTGTACGCCGATCCCGTGTGCGCCATAGTCACGCCCCCCTACCCCCGCTCTGTCTCCTTCCTCCTCCTCTTTCTTCGTCCTCATCTGGTTGAGCGTTCTTCCTGCAGTTTATCCTGGATATGGCAGGGGATTCACTGGTCCATTTCATTGCTGTGTTCGCTCTGCGCCCGCTGTCGCCCTATGTGGCACTGCGGAGGACGTCTCGCCAAGCTTGAGCCTGTCACCACTCTGCCCTGAAATTCTGCGTCTCTGTCGTGATGCGCGCGTGCGTTCGACTTGTGTCTCATGGCTTGTTCTTTGCGACACCGTCGTGATGCGCTGGAGGCTTGGTCATAATGCAAGCGCGTTTTGCTCGCCTTGTTGTTGGTCCTTCTCTCTCCTCTTCCCCCTCCTCTTTCTCCTCTGGGAGAGTGCGCTTCTTGCACGTGTGACCAGGGGGGACGACCTCTCAGTGTGAGTTGTGCCTCGTAATGGTGGCACCCTCGCCGTGCGCCCGTCATGGCCCAGTGCCGCGGTTGAGGTCGCTACACCAGGGTTTCAGCCTGCCAGCCGTGCCCGTGACTTCTGCGTCACAGTCGAGATGCGGCAGTGGTGCTTGTTCTTTGCCTACGCTGAGAAGGGCTGCGCCTCCCAGTACGGCAGCGAGCCTTCTCTTGCCAGGGGTCAGCTCGTAGGCTACTCACCCCTCTTTTTCTGCTTTCACCCCCGCCTGTTCCTCTTCTTTCCAGGCACATGTGGTGCATATGCCGCGTCGCACATCCCGGCCTCGCCTCTCCGTTTCATTCTCTGGGCTGTGGGCCAGTGAGTACCCGTCGCCTCCCAGGCCGCCGTGTCGCTTCACCAGGCGTAGCCCGTGGGGGCGGTGCCGCGCCTCTGGATGGGGAGGGGGGGTGCGCAGTGGCGAGCTTCCGCGCGCAGCCAGCATGCCAGACACGCGGCACGGCATCCCAGCGAGCGGCGCTGCCCGGTTTCCCCCGGGAGGGTGGCGGTCTCTGCGCGGCGTGCCTTCGCCACTCACACCGCAGCATGGCAGCAGGGGTGGGAAGGGGGTGCGTGACACCACCGCCTGTGCTGCGTCGGCTGCCGGCCCAGACCTGCTCTCTCCGGGGAGCTCCGAGTCGCAGCGACTGGGGGCCAGGCGCCGGAGTAGCCAGCGCGTGCGCCCCTGACGTTGTTGAGTGCGAGATGCGAGAACTGCGTCTCAAACGCTGTCATCGTCGAGCCCCACAAGCGATTGTGCGCAGTCTCGCAAGTGGGTGGGCGAGGTCCAAGAATCGAGCTTCAATTGAGATCCGGTAGTCATCGCGGCCTTGCAATGTATAGTCAGAGGCTGTTATCAGCATCGCTCCAGCTATTATACGTCGTTTGTAGGATGTTGGTACTGACGTCAACGTATTGGCATTGCGGTTATCCCTCGAAGGAGATCACCGCCCGTATTTCTCTCAATCCTATAGAGCACCACCAGCCAAGGCAGCCCGTATTTCCCCAATCAGAGCTCGCCTCTGTAGGGGTCTTAGCAGATTCATATGGTTAGGTCAGCTGCGTCGCCGATTCTGGCGTCCCGCCCGGGTGCCCGGGTGCCCGGGAGCTGAGTCGCCGATTTCGGCGGCCCGCCTGGGTGCCCGGGTGCCCAGATGCCCGGGTGCCCCGTAGCCCTATAGCCCTATAGCCTTATAGCCCTATAGCCTTGTAGCCCTATAGCCCTACAGCCCTACAGCCCTACAGCCCCACAGCCATATAGCCCTATAGCCTTATAGCCTTATAGCCCTATAACACAATAACCCAACAGCCCTATAGCCCTATTGCCCTATAGCCCTATAGCCCTACAGTCCTCTAGTCCTCTAGCCCTCTAGCCCTCTAGCCCTCTGGCCCTCTAGCCCTCTAGCCTTCTAGCCCTCTAGCCCTCCAGCCCTCTGGCCCTCTAGCCCTCTAGCCCTATAGCCCAATATCCGAATAGCCCAGTAGCCCTATAGCCCTATAGCCTTGCAGCCCTATAGCCCTACAGGCCTATAGCTCTAGCCCTATAGCCCAACAGCCCAACAGCCCTATAGCCCTATAGCCCTCTAGCCCCATAGCCCCATAGCCACATAGCCCCATAGCCCTATAGCCCCATAGCCCCATAGCCCTATAGCCCTATAGCCCCATAGCCCCATAGCCCCAAAACAGATTATGATTGGGGTTTTCTAATCAATCCTATTGCGCACCACCAGCCAAGGCACCAGGTCAGCAAATGAACGACTCGCCGTTGCCTCGCGGTCCGCTGCGCGGTCTGCGCGCGCGCGGGAGCTTACCCAGCGCGCGCGATGCCAGCCGTTCCGCGCGCGCCAGCCCAGCTCGCGCTCGTCACGCGGCTCGCGCGCGCTAGCGATGCTTTGGGCGCACGCGCGCGCGCGCTCCCCGATCGCCACGCGCGCGAAGGAATGGGCGCGCGCGCGCGCATCTGCGGCGCGCGCTGAGCTCGTCGCGCGCCGCTAGCACGCGAAGTGGGCTCACGCGCGCGCGCACCTGTCCGACGCGCGCGAGGGAGGAGGGAGGCTTGGAGAGGCCGAGGAGAGGAGGAGGGGGAGGAGGGGGAGGAGGAGGAGGAGGAGGAGGAGGAGGAGGAGGAGGAGGACGAGGAGGAGGAGGAGGAGGAGGAGGAGGAGGAGGAGGAGGAGGGAGGAGGAGGGGAGGAGGGAGGAGGAGGAGGAGGGAGGAGGAGGGAGGAGGGAGGAGGGAGGAGGGAGGAGGGAGGAGGAGGCGATCGAGAGTCCCTCCGCCCGGGCCCGATCTGGCGAGGAGGCCCCACCGGTGGCGGCTTCACCGCGGCCAACACTGCGGCCCGCCGGGTGGAGCTCACCGAGGCCCCGCGGCGCCGCCCCCGTCGTCGACGTCGTTCCCCTCTCTCTCTCTCTCTCCTGCGCAGGCTGCATGGCGGACGCGCCCGAAGCTTACTGTTTTCTTCCTCCTCCGCCCAACTTCCTCCTCCCAGCCTCCTCTTCTTCGAGGGATTGCCTCTTTGGGGCACCCGGGGGGTCTTCATCGGGACGGCTGGACGCGGCTCGGAACACTGGTCTGAAAGCGACCAGCAACAGGTCAGTGGATCGATTTTTTGGTCTGTTCTCCAGGCGGACGAACACCAAAACAAGCACGAGAGATGTCTTCACTCGAATCTCGATGATCCTCAGGACGTGTGTTAACCGAATGTGTGTTTACCCCGTTCGGCCCTCCTCACGCTGGCTGCGTCCTCTAAAAGGGCTCCGCTGAACAAGCACACGCCGGCGCGAACACACGCTCTGAGGATCACCCAGAATCCATCGGGCCTTCATGGTGAGCGGTTGCAGCCCCAGGGCCATCAGAAGGCCCGCGGCGAGGCACGATGGCCGCGGGGGCCCGCGCTGTGAGAAGGTGCGACGTCGGAGGCCGGCGCCTGCGGCGGGGAGGGGGGCGGAGGCGGAGGAGGGAAAGGGTGAGGAGCGCGGAGCACAGGCCGAGGACGCGCAGGCAACGCGTCTGCATATGATGAATGGGGCACCAGTGGAGATGGAGGACCGCGGCGCGAGCGTAAGGACTGACCTGCATTCAAACAGAGCCGGACATCGTAGGAGTCAGCGGCTAAGATCTGTGGTAGGGTGTTGTCCGTCGGCCAGCCAGTCTTTGGCGCGCCGACGGGGGGGGGTTCGCGGGGCCCCTGGGGTCCCCAAGGGCCTCGAGGAGGAGGAGGAGGAGGAGGAGGAGGAGGAGGAGGAGGAGGAGGAGGAGGAGAGGGAGGAGGGGAGGGGGGGGATGAGGAGGAGGAGGGGGAGGAGGGGGAGGAGGGGGAGGATGAGCAGGAGGAGGGGGACCTGAGTAAGCCAAAAATGCGTATGCGATGCTGCAACGCACCTTCCCGTCCCGAGTCCCCTTCTCACGCTCCCCTAGAAGTCCTGCTTCTCACTACAAGAAGCGCGTAGCCAGGGTCGCGAAAGGCAATGATACGACATACCAGGCAGGCGTCCAGCGAAGTTCCCCTTGCGAAGACGGACGCTTTCATCCGTGTAATTGTTCCACAAGTTTGCACTTGCCATTGACTGCTCCAGTTTGAAGAGAAGCCGCCATTGATCCGTGCAGCGCTAGGTGCGGTGAATGTTCGGGTCGTTGGTCTTTGCGAAGTCTTGGGCGATAGCTTCATCTCGAAAAAGCGCAGTCGACCATCCTGCTAAACTTTGCTTTGAGGACTGAGTGCGCGCGGCGCTACGACCCGTGTCCTTTCTTGACACAGGTGCACGGTGTTGAGACAAACGTGCGCAGCGCCAAGACGAGAACCCCACGTTGAACAGGAGTCGCCCTCCATCCGTGCACCGAGTCGACCTTTTGAAACCGAATGTGCGCGGCACCACGGCCTGCACACCATTTTGAAAACGACCCTCCCTCAACCCGTGACTTTGCGGGAACTTTTTAGAACAATGTGCACGGCGCTGAGACGAGAGCCACATTTTGAACACGAGCCCCCTCCATCCGTGAAACTGTTGCAGAATTTCAGGGCGCATGATGTGCGCGGCTCCCACTCGAGAGCCACATTTTCTGAAGACCGCCCCCCTCGTGCGAACTTTCCAGGGCAAGCGTGCGCGGCGCTCCGGCGAGAGCCACATTTTGAGACGGAGCCGCTCTCCATCCGTGGAGCTCTTGCGACCTCCCTAGACGAATGCCCGCGGCGCTCAGGCGAGAGCCGCCTTTTGGCCCCCCCTCTGTCGGTGAAACTGTGGCGAAGTTTTTAAGACGAACGAGCGCGACGCTGAGGCCAGGCAGGACGAGGGACGAGGAAGGAGGGAGGAGGATAGGGCGCCCCCATCGGAGGATATGCTCTTGCCCCCCTGGCTGGGGGCGTCCAGCCAGCGGCCGACGCCTGGGTGCGCTCCTGGGCCACAAGAGGTCTTCATCTTCGGACTCGAGCTGTCCCGCGCCCCTAGCTTCGGATGCAACTCCTGGGAGGTCAAATTCTGATTTTGCCCTGGTCCGAAATCCGGCCTGATCCGGCTTAATCCCGCTTATTCCGGCTTACTTCCGTTCAATCTGGCTTGATCCGGCTTGATCCCGCTTAATCCGAGGCCCGTTCTGGCGTAGTAACAGCCTGCCAAAGGGCTCAATCCGCCTCAGTCTTTCCGACGAGGGCCTCCCAGTAGTTGCCTCCTAACCCAGCCGCACGCCCACGCCGAAACACACCTGGGCACACTCTGCCAGGCCAGAGGCCCGGTCGTCTCCGCAGCCGCGGGGCAGACGCCCCCCGTGAGCCCGCTGGGCAGGCCCTCGCCCGCCCCCCCTTCCCGCAGCCCCCCGCCCTGTCCTGGGGAGAGCGGTGGGGACCTGGCTTGACTGCGCCGTTGTGATGGGCTCGCCTCGCGAACGTGCTGACGAGGAGCTAGGAGGAGAACGAGGAGGAGGAGGAGGCAGAGGAGAACGAGGAGGAGGAGGAGGAGGAGGAGGAGGAGGAGGAGGAGGAGGAGGAGGAGGAGGAGGAGGTGGAGGAGAAAGGCGAGGAGGAGGACGAGGACCAGTGTAAAACCAAGAGTCATCAACGATGTTGGAATTCATCCTCCCTCCAAGCTCCCTCTTCATAGGCCCCCACAACGGTTCATTTCCATTGAGGGAACTGCCTCGTTGGAAGACAACCGTTTGAAGATCCTGAAGCACGCCAAAAATAGTTCTCGGATTTCAGCGCCACGTATCAACCTGACTCCTGCGTCTTGACGGTCTGGACTCGTGCCAGAGCGCCATTTGTGGGACTTCAACACCGTGAATCAACATAACTGTTGCACCCGCATAATCCTGAATCCTTCCAAAGCACCATTTCTGGTAGGTTGATCGTAGGAATTCGTTCAACTCTTGCCAATCTGTGAAACGAATGTGCGCGGCGCTCAGGCGAGAGCCACATTTTGCAAAGGAGCCGCCCTCCATCCGTGACACTTTTGTGAGTTTTTAAAACGAATGTGTGCGGCGCTACGGCGAGAGCCACATTTTGAACAGGAGCCGCCCTCAATCCGTGAAGCTCTTGCTACTTTCAAATCGAATGTGCGCGGCGCTGAGGCGAGAGCCACATTTTGAAAACCACCCGCCCTCAATCCGTGAAACTCTTGCAATGTTTTTGAACGAGTGTGCGCGGCGCTAATGCGAGAGCCACATTTTGAAAACCACCCGCCCTCGATCCGTGGAACTCCTGCAAACTTTTAAACGAGTGTGCGCGGCGCTAAGGCGAGAGCCACATTTTGAACAGGAGCCGCCCTGAATCCGTGAAGCTCTTGTTACTTTCAAGTCGAATGTGCGCGGCGCTGAGGCGAGAGCCACATTTTGAAAACCACCCGCCCTCAATCCGTGAAGCTCTTGCAATGTTTTTGAACGAGTGTGCGCAACGCTCAGGCGAGAGCCACATTTTGAAAACCACCCGCCCTCGATCCGTGAAACTCCTGCAAACTTTTAAACGAGTGTGCGCGGCGCTAAGGCGAGAGCCACATTTTGAACAGGAGCCGCCCTCAATCCGTGAAGCTCTTGTTAATTTCAAATCGAATGTGCGCGGCGCTGAAGCGAGAGCCACATTTTGAACACCTCCCGCCCTCAATCCGTGAAACTCTTGCAATGTTTTTGAACGAGTGTGCGCAACGCTCAGGCGAGAACCACATTTTGAAAACCACCCGCCCTCGATCCGTGGAACTCCTGCAAACTTTTAAACGAGTGTGCGCGGCGCTAAGGCGAGAGCCACATTTTGAACAGGAGCCGCCCTGAATCCGTGAAGCTCTTGTTAATTTCAAGTCGAATGTGCGCGGCGCTAAGGCGAGAGCCACATTTTGAAAACCACCCGCCCTCAATCCGTGAAGCTCTTGCAGTGTTTTTGAACGAGTGTGCGCAACGCTCAGACGAGAGCCACATTTTGAACACCACCCGCCCTCGATCCGTGAAAACTCCTGCAAACTTTTACACGAGTGTGCGCGGCGCTATGGCGAGAGCCACATTTTGAACAGGAGCCGCCCTCAATCCGTGAAGCTCTTGCTACTTTCAACTCGAATGTGCGCGGCGCTGAGGCGAGAGCCACATTTTGAAAACCACCCGCCCTCAATCCGTGAAGCTCTTGCAATGTTTTTGAACGAGTGTGCGCAAGAGCCGCATTTTGAAAACCACCCGCCCTCGATCCGTGAAGCTCCTGCAAACTTTTAAACGAGTGTGCGCGGCGCTAAGGCGAGAGCCACATTTTGAACAGGAGCCGCCCTGAATCCGTGAAGCTCTTGTTACTTTCAAATCGAATGTGCGCGGCGCTGAGGCGAGAGCCACATTTTGAACACCACCCGCCCTCAATCCGTGAAGCTCTTGCAATGTTTTTGAACGAGTGTGCGCAACGCTCAGGCGAGAGCCACATTTTGAAAACCACCCGCCCTTGATCCGTGAAACTCCTGCAAACTTTTACACGAGTGTGCGCGGCGCTAAGGCGAGAGCCACATTTTGAACAGGAGCCGCCCTGAATCCGTGAAGCTCTTGTTACTTTCAAGTCGAATGTGCGCGGCGCTGAGGCGAGAGCCACATTTTGAACACCACCCGCCCTCAATCCGTGAAGCTCTTGCAATGTTTTTGAACGAGTGTGCGCAACGTTCAGGCGAGAGCCACATTTTGAAAACCACCCGCCCTCGATCCGTGAAGCGCCTGCAAACTTTTAAACGAGTGTGCGCGGCGCTAAGGCGAGAGCCACATTTTGAACAGGAGCCGCCCTGAATCCGTGAAGCTCTTGTTACTTTCAAGTCGAATGTGCGCGGCGCTGAGGCGAGAGCCACATTTTGAACACCACCCGCCCTCAATCCGTGAAGCTCTTGCAATGTTTTTGAACGAGTGTGCGCAACGCTCAGGCGAGAGCCGCATTTTGAAAACCACCCGCCCTCGATCCGTGAAGCTCCTGCACACTTTTAAACGAGTGTGCGCGGCGCTAAGGCGAGAGCCACATTTTGAACAGGAGCCGCCCTGAATCCGTGAAGCTCTTGTTACTTTCAAATCGAATGTGCGCGGCGCTGAGGCGAGAGCCACATTTTGAAAACCACCCGCCCTCCATCTGTGAAGCTGTTGTCACTTTGTAAGCTTCAGAGTCATAAGTGGTGAGGAAAAGTCAGGCGAAACGCGCGGCCCGCCCTAAAAACTGGTCTCGGGGTGCGACAGGGAGGAGTGATCTACAAGGACAAGGAATGGAGGAGGACGACGAGGAGGTTGAGGAGTAGGAGGTTTAGTAGGAGTAGGAGGAGGAGGAGGAAAAGGATGAGGAGTAGGAGGAGGAGGACCTTTCCTTTCCTTAGATGGGACCCCTGACTGCAAGCTCAGCCCCACCGGAGGAGGAGGACGAGAAGGAGGAGAAGGAGGAGGAAGAGGAGTGCTGCGCTGCCGCCACTCTCTGGTAGAACGAGGAGACTTGAAAGGACCGTGTAGTTCATAGAGAGCAGAGAGCACGGGCGCCATGTTCGTCACGTTTGTGTTCTCGCCCACGGCGCTGCGTTCCGCCTTGCGCATGAAAGGCTTGTTCGTTGTAATCGTTTTTTTCTGCGACGCCTCCACGTCTGCGCTCTCCGCTTCGGCTCTCCATCTGCGACCCCGCGGATGGGGAGCTGGCCAGTGCACGAGGGGCACTCGCGGGCCAGCTGATCGGGGGCGCCCTGCCGCAGGAGAAGCGCGCCGGCCGGCCGCGCATCAAGGTCGTCTACGTCGTGCTGGAGTCGCAGTACCAGGCCGGTGCCGATGGCCAGCGGCTTCCTCGTCCTCCTCATCCTCGTCCCGCTCATGCTGCTGCTCCTCTGCCTTGCCTGCCTGCTACTGTGGCAGCCGTGGGCCTGGCCAGATCACCCACGGTGGCGCGAAGGTGCTTGCGCTTCGTGCCTGGCGGTCTGGTCCGCGAGGGTGTCCTCCAGGACGGCGGCGTGAGGGCGCGAAGATAATTGCGCGTCGTGTATGGCGGGGCGGTACGGGCGAAGTTCCGCTACATTGGGCGACGGCCACGCCTTTCTTTCACTCATGGCGCGAAGTTCCGATATCCAGGTAAAGTTGATGTAATCGGCGGCGGCCGCACCCTTCTTTCACTCAGGGCGCTGAATAATCGTCGTGATATTTCTGCTACGATTCTGCCGAAGGTTGCATTCCAGACTCGATCTAAGTAAACACACCTTCACATCTCAAGCCACAGGACAGATATGACTCACAAGTGTGAGTGAGCACACGCACATTGACGAGTTCACCAGCAGAGCCCAAAGCCACTGGACAAGCCAGCCAGGCAGACCTGTGACGGCAAGCAGTGAAGCAACACCATTAGGCAAGAGTGACGGGCAAAGCCGAGCATACCAGGCCAAGTGGAGAGAAGGGCATGGAAGGTGGGATCGCCGTTAGCAGTAGTTGCATTGAGAAACCGTGGTGTTGCCTCTCCTTCTTCTGCTGCTTCCCGCGCTCCTTTCCCGTCCCACCACGCAAGCCCCCTCGAAGCTCGATATCAGGAGAAAATTAATGTTTATATTTTACTCATCTCCTTGTTTAATCATATACTTACGTGGATCTCAGTTTTTAGTTGCCAAGTATGTATACGTGATCGTCCCAGGGAGTCCGATGCCGTGAAACAGTGCACAGCCGTGATAAATGTCGCAGCTGGCAGTCTCGATCTTTTCCGTGGTGGGCTTTTTGCGAGGCAAGCCGATCCGTAGTGGGGCGCCTGGGGAGGAGAAGTAGCGACGGCGCTCGTCGTGCTTTGTTCACGAGGCCCGGATGTCAAGGGCCCACTCTTTCGAGTCCGCTTCGGGGGCAACGATAGGGGCGCATAGGCAAAGGGGGGTTGATGATGCATCGACCCCCAATTGCCCATTGATCGCCGATGGGGGCCCGGTAGCCCCAACCTGCCCAGGAAGGTGCGGATTCACTATCGGAGGCCTATCGCCGATCCATCGTCGAGGCAGCGCCGACTACAGGTCGATGCGTCTTCCCCTGTGCCAGTCCCCTCCTACCGTTGCCCCTCACCGCTCAAGCATCCACCTCTGGCCCCTCTGGGACGCCACCCCCGCCCGTTCTTCGAGCCGCGTTCAGCCGTGGGGACGCGAGGGGGCTACGAGCTCCCAAGAGAAGGACAGGGAGGCTCGGGATGCTGGGAGGGCGAGTGGCGTCCGCTTCTGGAGCGCTCCCCAGCCGCACGTCCACGTGCGACCCGCGCGTGTGTGTGATGGGATGGCGGCAGTGCGCTCACCGAAGGCAGAAACCCTGCTGGAACCCGTGCCGAACACGTCTGCGCGAGCGTGGCTGGCGGCCCGGCTGGTGCGGCCCGCGGCGAGGCTGCCGCGGATGCCGCCGTCGCCGCCCCGCCCCGCCCCGCGCAGGCCTCGATGACGGCGGCCGTGCGGCAGATCAACAAGAGCAGCAAGGCGGGCTGCTCGGGCCGCGGCCCTCGCGGAGGGCGACGGGGGCGGTTGCACTCCGGAGCCCCGGGGCCGTGCATCGCCGACGCGGCGCCAGGCTCGGGGCCCCTCCAGGTTGTCGAAGGGTCTGTGCTCCAGCCTCATCCGGGGAGAGGAGGGGCTCCTTCTCCTCCCTGTTGTGGGGGCCGGTGGAGGCGGAGGAGGTGGTGGGGGAGGAGGACGGGTAGCGGGAGGGGAGGAAATTGGATCAGGAGGGGGAGAACCAGAAGGAGGAGGAGGAGGAGGAGGAGGAGGAGGAGCAGAATGAGCACGGTAGAGGAGGTCGACTCTCTGTTGCAGGAGTTGACGTTCGGAGAAGGGTATGAGGAGAAAGAGGGATGATGAAGGAAATCTGACCAGGTCGTTGTAGATGATGTTGTTGACGATTAGGACGAGGTTGAGGATGCCCAAGACTCATCAACGATGTTGGAATAAATCTTTCCTCCAGGCTTCCTCTTCACAGGCCCCTGCAAGGGTTCATTTCCACTGAGGGAAGTGCCCCGTTGGGAGACAACCTTTTGAAGATCCAGAAGCGTGCAAAACCCCATGCTCGGGACTCCAACGCCACGAATACACTTGACTGTTGCGTCTTGACGACCCCGAGTCTTGCCAGACCGCGATTCCTGGGACTAACGCTGCGAGTCAACGTAACTGTTGCGCCCTGACATTCCTGAACCGCTCCCAAACACAATGCCTGCTACGCTGGCCATGGCAAGCCGCGAGAACTCTTGTAAATCTGTTCAATGGATGTGCGGGGCACTAAGGCAAAAGCCACATTTTGAAAAGGAACCGCCCTCCATCCGTGAACGTCTAGCACATGTTTAGGACGAATTTGCGCGGCGCTAAGGCGAGAGTCACATTTTGTAAATTTTCCGCCCTCCATCTGTGAAGTTGCTGCACATTCTTGAGACGAGTGTGCGCGGCGCCGAGGCGAGATCCACATGTTGAAAACGACCCGCCCTCCATCCGCGAACCTCTTGCAAAGTTTTAAGACGAGTGCGCGCGGCGCTAAGGCGAGAGCCACATTTGGAAAACCGTCGGCCCTCTAATTGTGAAACTGTTGCACATGCTTGAGACAAGTGTGCTCGGTGGTAAGGCGATAGCAACATTTGGAAAACGTATCGCCCTCAATCCGTACAGCTCTTGCACATTTTTGAGACGAGTGTGTGCGGCGCTAAGGCAAGACCCACATTTTGAAAACGACCCGCCCTAAATCCGTGAAACACCGGCATAGTATTAAGACGAATGTGCGAGGCGTTGAGGCGAGAACCACGTTTTGAAATCCGCCCTCCTTCCATTTGTGAAACTGTTGCTGTGCTTCAGGATGATAGTTGGCAGGGGAGTCTAAGGCGAAACGCTCGGCGCGTCCTTCTGGCTGGCCTCGGGGTGCGACAGGTAGGAGTTTTTAATGAGGAGGAGGAGGCGTTGAGAATTTCGATGATGTTGATGATGATGACGATGCTGATGATGATGATGATGATGACGACGATATCGCCGACGACGATAATACTGAGGATGATGTTGACGATGCTTCAATGGTGATAGGGTTGCTGCTGATGATGATGATGTTGAAAAATGCTGATGGTGCTCACGATACTTATAACGATGATGATGCTGCTGATGATGAGATATTGATGGTGATTAGTATGATGATGATGATGATGATGATGATGATGATGATGATGATGATGATGATGATGATGATACTTATGACGCTGATGGCGTTGATGTTATTGATGATGATGCTGATAATACTGACGGTGATGACGGCGACGACCACGG